GCAGGAGGATCCCCAATACATCAGATACTCTTGTTAAATTAATGACATAGCCCATCAAAAACGGAATTTCAGAAAAGGTTGGTCAATAAGTCATAATTTCAACTTAAAATTACGGAAACCCTATCATGAAAGCTGCCAAATGATCGTGCTCTTCTCAGATATGTTGATATTCAAGACTTCAATGCAATGCTTGGTTTGAAACACCTAATAGAGCAGGAGGGTTCACAATGCAGCCGTGTACGCAGGTAACACCCCAGGTATACTCGAAACCCCTGAGATTAGGTAGCCGTGGCTGCGTATTCATATTTAAAGTGGAGTAGGCCCAGGTTTTCGCGAGAGATTTTATTTCGTAACAACCGTAATCATGTCTACATCTAACACAGAACAAGATGGCAGTTGTGTCAAATTGGAGTATCCTACGAGTAACCGATCCTATGCCATGCTCAGAAGCCACGGCTACCTCGTCTCAGGGATTAGGAGTGTAACTAGAGACTCAATCTTGAATATCCCTTGAAAAGACGCCAAGGAATTATTAATTGTTTGTTTATTGTATCATGGAAGTTATGGAAGAGCGACGGTCCCTAATTTCCATAAAACCTGATTGATCCGGCGCAAACCATCGATTTTACAGAAATTAGGGGCGGTTTGTAGCTCTTCAGGTGATGACGAATTTCCAAACAAACAGACAGATGGGCGGGTGCTGCCTCGTATATGTAGCGGAGTGATGAACTTAGCCTCATACCTTGGCATCCAATGATTTTCTCGTGGGTGTCGCTTCTGTAAGCCCTTTTGGTTTGAGAAGCCTTAACGAATCAAATGATGTCACATGTAGAATGTAATATAGAAAGCGAAACGCTTAAGATGAAATTGGGTCTACTTGCAGGGAACGATGAGGATACGAGATAGATATTGGAATGGAATTTATATAGGGAATGGGAAGCAATGTCAGCTGACCCCAACACAGAAGAGATTGTGAAAGGGAAAAACGGAGGGAATAGGCCAACCCCACCATTTTATCGTTAACTGTCTTATAGGTATTCATCAGCCGGAGACTGTGCTATATATCGCACAGTGAAGCATGCGTGCATGAAACATTTCTTCATTTGCAGACAGTACTATGTACGTGAACACATTCAGCAGGCAACCTACCACCCTGGATCTTTTCAAGTGTTAAGACTCAGTAGTTTTGTGACGTGTAGCCTGCCCTAAAGACAAGTGGCACGATAAATCTACAAGACGTTAAGATCGATTCGCCTAGCAGGATAGAATTCGGCACCACTAAGCGAGCGCTGCGTGGAGCTTTTTCCAAGGAAGGAACCCTTATAGTGCCCATCAAGCTGTAACGTACTGACACGGACGCCCATAGCAGTCGCCCGCCCACAAGTGTCCGATCGATGCTTATGTCGTACACTTGCGAAGTATAATATGGAGCGAAGAGAAGCGAATTAGAGAGAATTAATATGAAGCGACTGCGTTGCTGCATGGATGTATGGATACATATTAGGTTGGCCCATAAGTAGTGGCGTTTTTTCCTCACACAAGTTTTTATATGGAAAATGACAATTTTTCCCAATGTGTCCTACATTGTTTGATAGATAATTTTCCATATTACAAGACAGTGTAATTGTCTTCTTGCTATTTCTCGACTTGTGTCGATTTTTATTTCATTGAAAGGAAAATCGGGTCGACGCGGAAGTGAGTTTTCGACAACAACCTTGCACTTTATCTCGGCTCTCAGTCTAAAGAAGAAGCTCGCAACCCGTATCCATGACCAAAGAGAGATGCGTCTTATGAGAGTTTGAACTTGGGAACGATTAAGAGGTGGGAATTCGGACCTTGTTGATGTTCAGCGCATGATGCCCGTCTTGGAGGGCGACTGCCTTAACCTACACTTTAAGTTTCGATTGTTTAACATCAACTGAGGAAGGTAGTTGATAATGAAAAAGAACCATGGCTTCTAGCGATTCCTGAATCTTCGGCATGAATCTCCTTAACACACTGACAACGATAGCAGACAGGTGGCTGACCGGGGAAGTCCGCCAAAATACTAATATGGAACTTTGAATGGAGACCTGGGTAGATCAATGGAGCCTCTAAGGTTATTTACAAATATAGATAGCAAAACTGCAAGCTGCATTTCACAAGCAACTTATGAGCAGGCGAAATTTGCCATGGTGAGGTACTGGAGGCTTGGTGGTGAGCTGTGATTCGTGGTGGTTTTGTGGTAAGGTTTGAAGCTCAACGACTCGATTCTATGTATGCGATTCCTCGCTTATGCTTTACAGCTCACCACCAAGCATCCAGTACTGCACCACTACAAATTGCACCTGCTTATAAGTTGCTTGGGCAATGCAGGTTGCAGTTTTGCCATCTACTGGTCAATAACCTTACAGAGTCTATGGCTTAAAAAAGGTTGGTTTCCATTCAAAGTTTCATGACGATGGCTGACATCGTCATGAAACTGAATGTATGCTGTGTCCACTACATTGTTCTGATAACAATGGTGTACGAGCAGCCGATTTTGCTGGAAACCTATTTCTAGGGGACAGCTTGCCTCTCTGAAACGGATACCACAGTCGCTTGGCAGGAACTGCCTGGCGCCCACGCCACCGGCGCAGGCGCCAAAATATCACAAATCACCTAATTCGCTTAAAGGCACAGTTCGCGACCGCAAATTGCGGGAAACGGAACTTAAATAGGCACAAAAAAGTGCTAAGTATCTTATTAGCGGAGAAAAACAGTAGAAAAAGCAGTCCGAAATGTTATAGAGAAAGATAGCATAGTGGCTACTAGCTAGTAGCTAGCAGCCGATGAGGGTCGGCATGAGCTATAAGGGTGTCCATGGGCCTAATTAGTCAGCTTCTAGCGGAGTTCTTGCTGTTTTTCACATTTTAAAAGTAGCGCAGCATCATAAATCGCCTTCCAGATCGTCCGACACATTTGAGAGGTCATAGCCTTATTTTATCGCGGAATGTGCCTTTAAAACTTGTCTTCTGGGGCAGCTTGACCCATGAACACGAATATCACGATCGCTTGCCGCAAGCTGCCTAGCGCCCGTGCCACCGGCGCCGGCGCCAAAACGTTCTGGGTCATCAAATCCGCTGAAAACATGTATCGTAGGCTAGTTCGATCCCCTGAACAAGAACGACGTTTGACCCACCTAACGCGTTGACGACGATTTCCGTCTGTGGTGGACGACAGCCTGTTTGTCTGTGGGACGGTGTCACCCATGCTCTCCGACAGTTACTATATAACTGAAAATCCGTGCAACTGTTTCATTTTCTCATCAAAAAAAGGCCCAGGGGATACAATATGGATATTTGGGAAGTCAAACTGCCGCGGCAGAGAAATTTTCAGCCGAATCTGCCTCCAGAGGAAGAGTTTGCTCAAAAGTGGCCTAATTTTGTGGTATTGGAGCAAAAAAAGCTAAAGATTCGAGATTCTTATACTCGTCCCTTGCATTTCGTGATACACTTTGATCGTAGTCACTCAGTTATTCGGAAAATACTAAGTTTGGACAAAGAAAAATGTGCTGTCCCACGCGCAAATCATGAGAAAAATGCTCGTCACCAACGTGTTAAATAAGGTAATTCCGTAAGCTCTCACTTGGACACAATAGCGCATTAGCTTCGATGCTTGTCCATGAGGTCGAGATTATCTCCTAAGCACTTAAACTACTGTAAGCATTCTTAAGAGACATGTATCTTGGCCATTTACTTATCAACTGGGCTTGTGCGGTTTGAGCTTTTCAATTAGGGTTAAAAAGGGTGGCTGTGAAAACGCTCAATTCGTCGACCTGACGCTCCAGTTTGAGCACTCAGATATTAGTGGAAAGAGAAATTTCAAGAAAACTAAGGAACTGTCGCATAGGGGGAAGAAATTCTCTGCAAAATGGCATAAAACTCAATGACAGATTTTTTCATCTTCAGAGCGATATCTCGAAAGTGGAAAAGTAACTCCATTACTTATGGACCGACCCAATACATGCAGCCTATCTACCGCAGCGGTTATTATGGCGATACAAGGGGGATAAACTCGTTCAAAATCGCTTATTAAATCTTGTAGTACAAAGGCTTTTTGGCAGGTTTCCGATCCCTCGCTTTCTGCATAGTTCCCACCATATAGCACCCCTGCTACCATTTCAGCACGAGGATCAGATCATTGTGTCTTATGTTACTGATCAAGCTTCAAAGGTAGACAAGTGCGTGTGTGATGCAGTTTGCTTCTGAGTCTGTACTAATCCACAGTCTTGTTGTGGTTTCAGGGAGGGAACCAGTACCCTCGAGAACTGTCCTCTGGTTTACTTTCTGACGGTTCAAATTTTGAAATACTCCAGAAGATACAATGGGACTGACGAAGAATTACTAACTTGCTTCTCAAGAGGGCTGGGTAACTTAGGTAACCCCTCTGGATTCCTTTCAAAAGTTTCGCATTCGTACTGAGCGCAGGTCGGTCCTATCTTTGCCTAGGACTTGTGACAGTCAGTGTTTTCAAGTTTTCAGATCGTATCGGTACCAGGTCACCTGCTTCGCAGAAAATTCAAATTCAAGTTTATTGCATGCTCCATGACATGTAATTGAAAACTCAAAGAACATATCAACAAGAAAAAGAAGAGCACCAACTAAACAGAACGAACCAAAAATAAGTGTAAAGAAAGAAGAAAAGAAAAGGAATTTCTCAGTTCCATCGCGAACCGCTCCGGACTCTGGTAGTGGTAAGTCTCCACGGAGGCAGCTGGCAAGGATGCCAATCGCAAATGAACATCGGTCACCACTTGTGTTTAGCTCTATCGCTTACACACCAGGACAGTCCCTCTTCATGAGATCCGTTCTTACCAAAAGTAAAACGAGAGCTGGTCCGCAAACCATGCACAACAAGACTCTGACAGCGCATACGGCGTTCTCAAAGTTCTCTCACGGAAAATTGGTATTTTTCGACCCAAGTTCCTGAACCTCTAGATCTCTTGCAATGTGAATCATCTTTCATATACATCGTTTGACTCACCTTTCTTTGGCTTCTTTTCGCACTCCAAATGACCTCTTCATAGTCCCTTTTGAAGCCGACGTCAGCGATTTCCGCTATACACACATTGTAAGATTGTGAGCAAATTTGTAAAGATACCTTTATATCTTGATGGCAGTGCCTGCATCAATCGATATTTTCCTTTTCCCTTCGTGAACGGTAGGCAAATGAGCAGGGCCAGCGACTGCGCCTTTTTTACGAAATGAAAAAAAGGAAGCAAGGGAGTCCACGTGTCTTCGTTCCACTCATTGGTCGGACCCACTCTCATTGGCCCTCCACCGCTCCACTCGGTAATATTAACAGAAGACCTGCCAATGAACAAGGCAGAGACATTGCCAATAAGAAATCAGCTGTGACCATTACAGCAACCCCATCGGCAACACCACTCGCAAGGTGACCTTGTCCGATCGCATTCTTTGCTTTCCATCTTCTCGTACAAATGCGCTTCCCAAAAGGTTTTACTGGGAGCACTTGTGACCATTTTCTTCCCGTATTTTCTGCACCATTGACTTGTATTTCGACTGCCATCTTAGCATCCTAATTGAATACTACTACATAGAACATCCGACCGCTTGCTTTCCTTGAGGTCTACACTCTAGTTCGCTGCGGACGGTTGGGCGTGTCAGGCTGTATTGTGCACACCGTCACAGCCGTTCTCTGCCTTCTTGTTAAAGTGCGCATGCGACAAAAAGTGGTAGAAAAGGAGTATTACGAGCTATATATGATACAGTCATATCATTTGCTTTTAACGACTGGTGAAGAACGAATTTGGCACCGCGCCAAACTCATCCCTCCTGATACGCCCGATCGTCCGCAGCGAACTACACTGTACCTAATGATTGTCGGATTAGACACGTACCTTATCACCACTAGTAGGCCTTGCTGGGGAAGACATGGAGTAACCAGCGTCCATTGTAGGTGACTGCATTGCCTGTCTAAGGTTTTTTGCAGCGTCTCTCAACAATTCTTTGTTTCGACGATCTTGTTCCATCACCTAAATAAGCACATGATCCTAATCCCATGGTGAATACCCTCTTCTCTAAAATACGGAAATGTATGCTGCTTCCGTACTCTTCCTTCTACAATTAATATAAATTGGTTGAAATTATCCACCATGCAGTGAATGTTAAGAAAAAGTAATTCGCGGTCTTGCGCGAAACTGTCGTCTCCAGCTAAAACGCATAAACACATGTTCCCATTATCCCCTTAGATGCACTTCTTACGCAACGTGATATTTTCTCTGAAGCTCCGCCACGAATGTTTACATACTGGTCATGACTGAGACACTTTTTGCTGTTTCTGATGAATCCGCAAACCTCCACTGGATTCCGAAATACACAATAACGATAGCTCCTTCCCATCAATTTTGTCGCCTTCAGAAAACCATCCAAAAGTATACATCGCTCACAGTTATGGACAATTCTCATGATCATTGTACCAACGCCCTTTTCAGCATTCTTGGATCTTGCTGAATAGAAAGAATGTCGGTGATACATGGGAAATTGTGACTGGTTTGTAGCACGGGTACATTTTCCCCCTCCCTCGACACGTTGAAGGTCCGTCTGAATTTTGTATCATGAATCAAACGATGGAACACATGGAGGCAGACACCGGATTGCTTGGAACCGCTTCAGAGTTTCAAATTATTTAGCTGACACGCTTCCTTTGCTCAAGACAACAACAAGCTCCAGCAGTGACAACAAGCTCCAGCATGGTGCTCTGTCGGATTCTCGTCCTCTGTTAGGTGAAGGGGTTAATGAATGCCTTGTATATTTTTAGTTCCTCTGCTTTTATTTTTGAAGGGGGGGGGGAGGGGAACCAGCTCACCTATCCGCTATATTCACGAATGCAACTGGAGTTGAGAAAAGCAGAAGTTATCGTATACATGTACGTATACACTTCCCAGAGATGGCGAGCCCGTTGCTGTGTACTCATATGCGCTTTGGAGGCATGTTCCGGTTCCAGAACAGTTGCAACCATGACTTTGTTTCGTACAAGATAGATGACACTTGCATCAGATGGAAATATCTCAAGAACAACACTTCCTACGCCATCTTCGAAGGAACTTTGCAGCCACGATGATGTCATCACGGAGTGTTTAGTATATGCAGTCACATTCCACTCAGCACTTGCAAGATAAATTAGCAGCACTAACAAACCCCACCTCTGCGCTTTTTCTGCGAGATTCTGGCCGCGGTGTCTCGAGATGAGGTGTACCGTCCTGCTGCGGTGTCAAGCCATGTCGTGCCATCCATCGACTGCCTGGTGTTGCTTGAGTTGGTTCTGGCCGGAGTCTGAAAATGAAAGGAGAACAAGCTTTCTGAAGATCTCCATCGATGGAAGAATGACTTATTCCAGTTTCTGATGATTTAGTCATATAATCCTACTATATACAATTCGCTAAGTATGTCTGTAAGTGTGTTGTGTTTGTATGTTTGTGTGTGCATCTGTCCGTCTGTCGCAAAATTCATAGCGCCCGTTCCAGTAGCGGTGAAACATTGGTTCCAAGAAGTGATGTAGGGGTGTGATGGGAACATTATTGGTTGGTGATAGGAAGTGATATCAGTTGATAAAATTTGATAACAGATGATAGAGGCTAATGGTCACCGTATTCATAGCGCCGGTAACAGCAACAGCTAGTTCTTATTCCAAGGCATGATAGAAGGCATAGGCTAGGAACTTTATTGGTGCGTGAGGAAGTGATGCCTGCTGGTAAGATTCCCTAAGTGGGTTAGAAAGGTAATGTCATCACATTCACAGCGCAGATTAGAGCATCAGCGAGGCGTTGGTTCCAGGAAGTGTTATAGAGGGTGAGCTGGTAGCATCAACGGCGGGTGACTGCAAGCGATCACTACTGATAGGTGCTGATAAAGGACATTGCAATTGTCGAGGTGGTGCAGCTTTTACACTACCAAATTATAAAGATGTACTGGTGAGGACACTGGCGACGGGTGAGAGGTAATCATATCAATCAATAGAAATCTGCACTACATTTTCATCGCTCTTTACCACTATAATACCAAGTGTTAGAAACCTAGTGTGTAAGCATTTTCCTACGATGTCAAAATCAAGGTCGTCCGTTTAAGTGTTTGCCCTTGGATTCATGCATGCAATGGTGTCGAGCGGGGGAGGGGTACATTGTGCGTCTTAAGCGGCAAAGTCGAGGAAATCATCAATCGTCAAAAAATATTCGGAAATATGTATGCCTTTTATATAATTTGGGATGATATGTTAGGAGGTGGAGGGCGCAAATGAAGCAAAGCAAGGGGCCAGTGCTGCCCATGACTCTGAAGTTTTGCCTCTTTCGGGCTTAAACTTATGTATGTCAACTGCTCAGTCGGGCTAGCTCGCATTCACCCCATTCTGATATCGCAACTGCGGTCGTTAAGATATGGTTCAGCCTTCGCATAGGTAAATCAGAAGTTAACAAGAGGGACCAGATGTTAATAGATGATGACTGATGGCGAGCTGTTTTCGGCTTACTTTTCTACATTCTAGGTAAAAAATCTCTGTCACCATTTGGCACATTTTGCGCATTCTATGTCGCCTAAGGAAAAAGTGCCTGGCAAAGCAAGGTCAGCTCGACGAAGCCGGGCTTCGGCTGGAGGGCGCCCGGGTCAGCTGGGCGATCCGACTGGTACCTTATGTCTTATTCTAATAACAGTGTTCGCCGTCGTTGTGATAATCACAACAGGGGGGGAGGGGTCGTACCTGACCGCGAAGGAGGGGGATGAGTTGTAATCGCAGGGCCTTTTTTGAAGTGGGGAGTGCAGCGATACTCAGATTTTGTACGGCTTCAATGATGAAAGACCTATTCATGCGAAGAACATCTGAAGAGACACCTGAAGGGATAAGCAACCTGCAAGCTCAGAAGTGGAGAGCGGGCGATGACAAGAGGTACGATGGCCGCCGAAAACGACGTCGTGAATCTATAAACGGATGGAAGTACACTTCCGTACTTTCAATGTACATCTGCTTGCACGGAGGAAGCCCTATCCAGGCGTTACATCTTTCCAACAGCGCATGGCGCATTACTGAGGTCAACCCGGAATGCGGATTGTACTATTTCCTGATATCGAAGGCGAAAACATGTGTGTCAGAACCACACCAAAGTCTTCAAATCTACTGGAAGCGGTATTGTAGGAGAGGTAGTTTTTACAAGTTGTCCGAAAGGGGTCGCAACCACATACAACTAGGTGAAATGAAAATTTTTCTAGGAAGCAGAAATCTTCGCAATTTTGTCCTGTTTCCTTTGTTACGAATGGCTTGTATGAAAATTGTTATAGCTGTTCAAAGCGCAATAGGTGACTCTCAAATGCAACGACGCGATCACAACGGGGGAGTTCCTAAAAAAGGAATTTTCCAGAATCACATGCACTTGGGTAATAAGCGCCAACCTAGTGCTCTAAGCTCTGCTTTCACTTCTTCCAAAGCTCTACGCTCAAAGAAGTTATGGGTGTTCAGCGAAGGGTACTCCCGCAGTGTTTGGCTTCGAGCTAGGTTCCGACCGTGAAAGCTCGCTCCAATGCCACGGCACAAAGGCACTCCTCACTCGCTCGCTAATTCCAACTGCAAGTTTGGATGGCAGCTAACAATTAATGTTCAAATGCTGGGACAGCATTTTTCTTCTCATTTCTTTTGCCTTGTTATGGTTTGTTTGTGGTTCATTTTTATGTTATTTTTTATGGTTACTTATGGTTCATTTCCTTGGTTTTCTTAATGTTTTTACTGCTCCTACGTCTTTTTGTCGTTTATTTTCGCAGATCTTCTGCAACTTTTTGGTGTTTTCATTCTTTAACTGCTGGCAGATTCATGCCACACGAAGGCACCAGTTGAAAAGTTCAGTGCCTTAAAGGGTAAAGGATAAAGTCTTCGCTGTTGATCAATCCTTTTGTGGGATGCGGCACGCATTCTACTTCCATTCAGAATCGTAGTGGCTTATTAAATGCGATGTGGCCTACACAGTGACTTGGGTAACCAGCCGATGTACAAGTCACTGTTTTATCCTGCCTGGGCGGATGTCGACCCGGGATTCGAAACGCGAGTGGTAAGCGCGCCACTTGTCACTACACCACCTCTGCCTCCTGGTGCCTTTATGTGGCATCAATTTGCCAGCAACTATTAACTATTTATAAGGGAGCAGATAAAGCGGATAGGGAAGAGGTTGTATCGAGCCCTGAGAATAAGTTTCTTCACACTTCAAAACCATGAGAAGACTACAGCCCTTCCAAGCTCAAAAATAAACAGAATGGCCCAGTCGTGAGTATCTGGCTTTCGAAAAAGGTTCATTTGATGTCGTGTATAATCCAGAGATGAATCTGTCGCAGAAGAAATCCTGAAGATTTGTCAAAAAGTAGGGAGCTGCTACTTACAACTATCCTCTCATAACAATCCATTGGTGGGAGTAAATTGTCCACTGCGATTTCTCTGCGCAGGCCCTTTTCTGAATGGAACTCAAACTCACGCCTCTGACGTCCTGGCACGATGCGACATCATCACAGCATGCTCTGCCGACACGGCTTGCATCTGGGTAAACATAACTATGTACATTCGTAAGAAAAAAGAACGACTGCGGTGGTTTCATTTAGAGGCAGTTGGCACGATAGGCCCTGGCAGGACGGATTTCCGGCACCGAGCAGGCGCTGTCTAACGCCTCTTCTAAGGAGGTACCCTTATGAGGTCCTATCAAGTCACAGCATACCGACCCGAATGCCTACCATGCCCCCGCCCCCCCACCCACAAAAGTCTGAGCGACCCTAATGCTCCTATCACTTCATTTGCGAAGTGCAGTATGAAGCAAAGGGATTGATATGAAGCGGCTGCGATGCTGCATAGATATATGAGTACATACGTGCAGCCGTATCTACCGTGGCGGTTATTGGCAAGATCCTACGCGAAACGTCCGAAATTGCATTTGAGTTTTCGAGTCCGAGTTAAGAACAAAGGCTTTTCTCTGCAGGTTTGTGACCGTTTCACTTAATTTTCTCGCCTTTCCCCACTATATAGCACCCTACTAGCATTTTAGACCGTGAATTGCATTATCGTGCCAACAGCCTTTGAAGAACGACTGGAGTTGTTCTGGTTGAATGCGTATGTATTTTTGTCTTACAGTTAGAATCTGTGATAGCGATTTACGGAATGAACCTTGTAAGCCATAATTTTCAAACCCAAAGCGTCAACATTTAAGCGAAGCTGCAAGTTGGTTTCTTCGACATTATCTTCCAAATTATCGAGGCCTTTCACGAGCCATTTCGATTCAGCAAGATTTCCATAAACAATAAAGCTGTGGTCGGTCATCTGAAGAAAATCGCCTTAGAAGCGGACCCCGATTATGAACGATAGGAATTAAAAATAGCAACATGTCCTCAGGTAGTTGCAGTAGACTGTATTCCGTAGCTCATGCTTCATGGAAGTACCCTTTGTTAGGTGCTCTATTATGTGTGCAATAATTTTGTTGCCTTTTCGCTCCCCTTACTGTTTTTTTTTCACCAATGAAAGAAGCGAAACGATAAAGCGTGCTAACCAAAATTTCCAAAACGCTTGTGCACCCGGCAACAAAGTGGCAAGGTATTATCTAGACGGGCCGCGCACCCGAAACCAGTGTGATAACTTGGTGTGTTTGATTGGCATACGGTCGCAATGCTTCTACAACTAACTCAGAACTGATCGTATTCAGGCATCATGAAATCACCTAACTAAATCCTACTCAAAAAGGAGAGTTACCGCTTCAAGACGATCCTTGATCTGCTGTAGCAACGCCTCAGCACGCTTCGTTCGAGTCCCCTCGATTGGGGGTTCCTTGCTCAACACATCGATTAGCTGGAATATTCAGAAACATTACAGCGATGCATTCCGGAGTGTATGAAGACAAATTCCATGAAACTGCACGGCTCTTATTAATTTTTAGGATGGGACGAACATGCGGTGAGTTGAGGAGAATCGTAATACATTAGCGACCGTTTCCCCTCCTCCCTTTAAACAGTTTTCCTGCCTACCCTGATTGACTCTTTATCATCGAAGCCTTCTATTTTTTAGGAGCTGTTCAATTGCTACCTCTTGAATAAGTGCGCGGAAACAACAGAAGAGCTAATCAGATCATTCACTTCGACAAAAGGAAAAATGAGAGGGGAAGTAGTAGAGAGAGGCAACGTGTGGGAGTAGTTGGTTTCAGACATTCGTATTTCCAAGTAATGATCGGAATTCTCCCAGAAGGTCGTTTGAAGCGAAGTGCTTACCACACGCCGGTCCGAGGTTTTGTAAGAGTGGAATGTTGGTGACAAAAAAATTTTCTCGATGATGGCATTTTGCTGTGTTTTCTGTACGGCAGAGGCCATATAGCCACTCTCGCATCTCTCAACGACACTTTCGGAAAAGTGCAGATTTTTCTGAAGATTTTTTCAGGAAGTGCTCGAATCCCATCTTTTATGTAATAGCGATGTCCGTCTTTAAGTAAGTCCTCATCAACTCAGTTTTCTACTAAATGGCTCGTAAAAATCTCACTTACGTTCTGTTCTGTAGGTCAAATTAACTTCAATTTATTAGGCTGTCCCAAAAGTTCGCGACATTGTTGCATATTTCGAGATCCAGTGATGTGGTCTATGGGAAGTGTGTTGAGTGAGCATCCCACCATTGCTTTACCGTCCCTCGCACTCACTGTTCTCATATAGAACTAGATGGAATTCATTATTTTCGACACACTCCGCTATATGAACCTCCATCAAGTCTCAACCCGGCTGGAGTCACACCTGCCATTCGCTCTGACCAAGGACGTCATTCAGGACATGGAGCACTTTTTGAAGACTGGTTTTTTGTATGATGTAGGGTCACGTGCATGGAGTACCGAACTGACATTCATTTTGCCCACGCGGCTCTGGAAATATAAAAGCGAGTGAAAAAAACCTATTAAAACCGGTGGTTTTTGAGCCTCTGTGAGCTCTTAATCACTTGCAACTTTGACAAGTTGCTGATTGGAGAGTCCCTATAAAGGTGCTATTGGAATCGAGGAAAAAATAGTCACAAGTGGGGTTTTACTTGTTGCACGTGGTTAAGAATGAACGGCTCTTTAGAACGATTTCTTCAACGATCGGAGCGGTGTTCAGCCACAACAATGGGATGGCCTGTTGAGAAGCGTGGAGGATTCTCGATCGGACGGTGAGGGTGGAGGTTGATGGTTCGACTCCCCTGGGCCTGCGAGTTTTTGCATTTTTTATGTTTCGCTATCCTCGCTGTCTGTTTAAGAATTTAATTCGGATATCTACCATTTATAGGCAAAGTCTCTAATAAATAATTATTTCCCCATGAGTCGGTGCTATTCAACAGTTCCGATTTTCACATATCATTGAGTAAGGGCTTTTCCGAATGTTGATCTTTATATGTTATTCAGTGCCCTGATCACGACTATGGCACTTATTTTCAGCTACGGTGCCATTTATCGCCAATTTGAAGCCAAATCTTTCTCTCAGCTAACCCGTTATGTGCACTCATTTGAGGGACTTTCAGGGCTATTCTAACGATAAATTGCGTGGAAGCCAGAAATAAATGTCTGAATCGTGATCAGAATCATCGATCCGAATTTGGGCCAAAAATTTTTTTGACTTTTGATTGCAGAAGCGGCCTAGCAATCCTATCAATCCACTAGGGAGGTGATACTGTCTATATGTTCTGATTACCCGCAGGAAATTTCTTCTGCTCAACACTTTCGCAGCCAGCGAGTCCTGTTGTAATCAAGGGAAGGATGAAAGTCCCACCATTTGGTCCCACAACTCAGCAATGGTTGCCTACCACACCACAGTTCAGGGTGTTTCGAAAATGACACTGCTCAAGCTTCTGGAGCCTAGCTGACAGTTGTGAGAAATGCCACCACAGCCCTTGTGTAGCTCTGACTGACTTGACTTAGCTCGTTTAGAATGCTATCTAATGGTAAGCTATTCCCTCAGCGGCCACCTTCTGGGTAAAAAAGTACGATTTTCAACAGCGCCTCAAGAATGATTCCAATGTTTTTAGGCACGGAACCTGGAAACTTGAAGCAACGCAACCACTATTTGATTGGTGGTTGGCAACAAGTTGCCGACCTGATACGATGTGGAAAGCTACTCGAACAATGCTTCGTTTGCCTGAAAAAAGTACCCCGCGGATTTCGTGAAATCACCACGAGGATTTATTTTACCTCGAACGCTCGTCCAGTCTTATCGTAAACCACGGTAAAATTGATTACGTTTGGTGATGCCTGTTCCAAGCTGGCAGGAATCGAGGTAGCAGGCCTAAAATAATCATTTGCATACTCTGGACTTTCACAATTTCCCTTCGAACTGTGTATCTTACTCAGTTGACTGAATGAGATGTCAAAGGTTACACTCACTTCCGCACTGGAAGTAAGCTACGGGAGCGAGTGTCTCCACAAGACTTCAACCACAGCAGCACCAATACCCGCCGGAAACTCGGATGTCAAGATGTACTATCCAACAAGATAAGATGAAAGTTGGTCCTGCTTAGTGTACTGTCCCCAGAGTGAAAGAGAGCTCCATCTCTGCATGTCCACTGACAACTTCATTTTGAAATGACCAGAATATTCCCATTTAAGGAAAACACGATGACTACGTTGAAAAAATGCAGCCGTCTAAGTTGATTGAATACATTCAGAAAGGTTCAGTTATCAGAGAGAGACGTCTTGCTAAAAAAAGCCTTTCAAGTCACGATTTGACAGAAGTTTTCTCAGCCAAAAAAATCAGTTTCCTCAAGTCTCTATAGTCGAGATTTCTAAATGACAGGGGTGACTGTGAGCTGTGCGAGATTAACTTGTAGTACAGCATTTCCCTGAATCGCACAGAAAAAGGGCGCTCTCACTTCCGATTTTTGTCTTGCTGATGAGAAACCAAACAAAATTTTCGTCTTTTCGGTTACATTTTAATGTGATCCCGATGGCAGTTAAATGGCAGCAGTTCTACGCACAGGGAAATATACTAGAAAACGTGTGGATTTCCAGAAAATGAGTACTTTTACGCACAGCTTTAACCCATATTCGTCAGCCAATTTTTACTGCATTGTCTGTGAGTTTCAGCACACATTTTCCAAAGAAACCATTCGGGCCCTACAAACCGTTGTTAAACAGCTCGCTTTCAACAAATATCCATTGAAGATGAATAGCAAGATTATCATTAACCACTCAACGCTCTCCGCAGGATGTTAAGAGTAGAAAACAGAAAAGTATATGAAGAACGCATGGGAAGTATGAGATCTCTCACCGAATGCAATAAGCGTAATCGCATTTTGCAACCTTCCTTTCTAAGAGAGACCTATGAAACTATCGTCGACTCAGCTGCTCTTCAGGAAGAAACAGCAGCAAAAGCTGCACAAATGTTAGATAACCTGTGAAGGGAATTAGAAAGAATCAGTAATGAACTCACTGCATACTAGGTGTCTTCATGATGATTCGTTTTTTTCTTAGCATTACCTTAACACCGCTTCGAGCCGTACCCTGAGCGCCGGGCGAGTTTTGCGGAGGACTCTTGATGACCAACACCTGAAGAGCTCCTTTTATGAGTGTCATTGGCGCAGACCTGAGTGTTTCTGTTTGTTTTCCCTCTCAAAACACAAAACTTGAACACCAATAAATGACGACCTCCTCGCTGCATCGGCCCAGGACGTATGCATCCATTTCTTCCTTCTTTTTCTGTTCTGCCGGTTGCTCTCTAGAAGACAGCTTATCTTCTCGACCATAGAAAGTCTGAACTGCAAAGCGCTTTAGCGAAAGATCCTTTTGCCTTCTATAGCAATAATTTGTTCTGTGTCTAAGCAAATGTTAATTCCTGTGTGAATAATTTAATGACCACGCTTCCCTGTGATCTAACACTATCAATGGAAAAGATTACTTAGAATGTCAAAACACGTTCAGCGATTATGTATCATTTAACGCCGCGGGGAAGGTCAACTAGTCGGTCCAGCCATTGCAATGAGGTGGAATCGTTCCATCGGCCTCGAGACCGTGAACTCGAACCTATTTTATATGCTGAACCACGGTCTGAATGGAGATATGAAGGGTTTCATTCGCTGTTTTTCCCTTGTGAGGGCGCTGGCGCCGAAGCGCTTGCGTCTGAAGCACGCAATGGTGCCACTTTTGTGACTCGCATACTCAAATTTTTTCTCAGTTTGTGATGGAGGTAGAGGTGGTGTAGTAGCAAGTGCTAGTAGCAAGTGATGCGCTCACCATGCACCCGCGTCCGAAGGTCGGATCGGAACCCGTCCAGGCCATTCAAGCCTCTATCCTCCGGGGACAGTAAATTGGTACAGATGCGTCTAGGAGGATAAGAACACTGACTTATACATCGTTTCTCGCACGTAATTGTCTAGGCTACATCCTATTCTATAAGCTTCTACGGTTCTGTACGGAAGAAGAATGGGTTCAGCATCTCAAAGAAGGATTAATAGACGTCTAAGGCTATTCTCTATCTTTTTATTTGTGCTGAAGCCACCGAAGCAGTTTTGCTATTGCCAAAGTAAATGTCAGACGGAACTCCCTTAGCAATCAGAAAGCCCGCTTATAAAAGTTGCTTCTCGGCGTTAGTTAAGCCCTTTCGGAAAAGCGTGTGCTACAGTACTTGACACGAGACGGACTGAAGTAACGCGGGCGTTCTTCTCCGCACGCGACCCAGCTGCAGCAAGCAACGCTTCACATCGTTTTTGGCCTCTTTTTGTCAAAAGTGGACATCAGATGGGTATCACCATACAGAAACCCCTATCAGTTCATGGTAGCAGAGTCGGGCCTGGAACAACTTCCTAAAACTCGAGGAACGTTTGTAGTTCACAATGGAACGCGTCCTCGCGCTACGGGGCGCTATACAAAGGACATAATCATAGACGGATACCGACCGGCTCACCGCTGGTGTCGCGCATCGCGACAACGGTTGCCGGGGCGCCGTGCGCCTGCGCTCCAGCGCGCTACGCGGGCAAAGCCGCCGTAGGCCGCGTCACTGCCCCGCCCCCAGTCGGAGCCTATTAAGGGCTGCCAGCTGCCAGTCGGCTGGTAGAGTGCTTCTCTCGTTGCTTGCTTGGAGGTTGCTTCTCTCCCCGACCCAGCTGCAGCAAGCAACGCTTCACATCGTTTTTGGCCTCTTTTTGTCAAAAGTGGACATCAGATGGGTATCACCATACAGAAACCCCTATCAGTTCATGGTAGCAGAGTCGGGCCTAGAACAACTTCCTAAAACTCGAGGAACGTTTGTAGTTCACAATGGAACGCGTCCTCGCGCTACGGGGCGCTATACAAAGGAACATAATCATAGACGGATACCGACCGGCTCACCGCTGGTGTCGCGCATCGCGACAACGGTTGCCGGGGCGCCGTGCGCCTGCGCTCCAGCGCGCTACGCGGGCAAAGCCGCCGTAGGCCGCGTCACTGCCCCGCCCCCAGTGGAGCCTATTAAGGGCTGCCAGCTGCCAGTCGGCTGGTAGAGTGCTTCTCTCGTTGCTTGCTTGGAGGTTGCTTCTCTCCCTCCGGGAGGAGGGAACCGCCGGGCATTCGCTCTGCCGCTATGAGGCCAGTCGGCTGGTAGGGTGCTTCCACTCTGCTCAGCGGTGTGGTCGGATACACCGCTCAGTCTGGTGGAGCACTGGCTCTGGCCCGTGCCTGTAAGACTCGAAGGCACGGCCGGCTGCGGGTTGCAGCTTGTAGCCGCAGGACGCCATTTACCGCTAGGACCGCTGGACATGGAAGACGGATGGTCTGTCCAGCTAGGACAGATTGGAAGACGGTTTTCGCTAGCACGTGAGTCAATAAATGTGCAGTTTATATATGTTGTAGTGTTTATAATAAGTGAGACTTGGGAGCGACCGGGCAGGGGGGCCCGCAAGGTGCTGGTAAAGCTTGATGGGTTCGGTTGGTTGTAGGTGTAGGTTGCTGGCTATTATGTTTCTGTTATTTGGTTGTTAGATGCCTCAGGGTATGGTAGGCTAGGCAGGCCTGTAACCTGAATGGTTAGGGCAGCTGTAACAGTGGTAGGGGCCGGCCGAGCCACGGGTCCAGGACGGACATAGGGTAGGTCGGACCCACCACGGGGATATCCCCGCACGGGTTGCCATACCCTGTAGCCTGCCACGGGCTTAGGCCAGGGTAGTCCCTAGGGAACGGTGGCTAAACTGTGCGGGGAAAGTGGCATAGTCCCCGGGAGAGCTGTGAGACAGTGGTGGTCAACTGGTGCGTAAGCGGGACCCTTAAACCACCGACTCGTCGTGGGGGAGGACTAGTAGGGCGGTCTCTCTCTGAACTGCGACAGCTAGCGTGTTAAGACAATAGAGGAGGAAAAGAAAGTTTCAGACCGAACTACAGTTTTGTGGCAGCACTGCAGAACTTTCTATTTTATCACGCCAAATCCATGTATAGTACCATTCTATTCTTTCATGATTTATGAAACACCAAGCCAAATCCATGTATAATACCATTCTATTCTTTCATGATTTACGAAACACCAACGGTCGACACTAATCTACAGAGGGGGGGGGGCAAGAAAAACACTTTTTTCTCGACTTCCAGAGCGAAATAAGCTGCCTTTTATCACATTCTTTTTGGACGTTTCCACCATCAAATTCAACAACACATTATGCACGAGCCACCACAGCCTTCTAGACGAAAATCATCAAGAGATTCTGCCATGCGACCCGTGATTCAGTGTCTGAGTTCAACGCGATTTATTTCTCCGCCAATGTATACAACTCTGCTGAAATCCTCCCGGACCCGGTAATCGAGGGGGTCTACGTCAGGTGACACAGTTAGATATTCCGTTTTTCTCAGGTTCCCAAGGTCCTTCAGTTTCAAATAGGCGACAGTTTTTCGGTACCATGTGCTGGCACCTAATACTCAAGCAGTGCGAAGTTTCCACGATAGTGTGGGCGACGACATCATCAACTCACTTGGGGCTTCGAAACTGCAGATAAGATGATATCCTGGACCGTAGCGACGCTGCCGGAGGTGCTCGATGGAGGTCTTCCAGATCAATGGTGCTGGTCCCCAGGTGGCTGTCCATGCCGGAGCTGCTCGATGAAGGTCTTCCAAATTAATGGTGCTGCTCCCCAGGTGGCTGTCCATAAGTGACTCCATACAGAAGTTTCGCAGCTGTTCGGAGATGCCGTGAATTCCATAGACATTGACCATTCAGGCTGCCATTGCAGATATGGTTTCATATTTTGGTGTTCATGAAGGTGATAGCCGAGAATCTGCTTCTGCTTGTCGACGAACATTCCCTGCTGCGGTGATCGTATCCAGGCCTTCTCTCTGAACTGAGTGTTCTTTACCGATACGTGTATCGGAAAAGTCTCTTTTTTGGCCCGCCATAGTCGTTTATAGCAATGAAGCGCTACTGCGATGGCGCATCTGCACGCAACGACGCGCGTTGTAGTGCAACGATAAGCGTCATCGCGGAGTCTGAACGCAACCTTAAAAAGGGTCGGGTTCTGGCTCCGCGATGATCTTCCTGGTATATTTGATTGACTTTATCCAGGATCTGGTTGTGGAGCACTAGTGCTCAATCACGGCGAGTGCAAAGGGGTGGCGTACCTCGTCTTCGCACCCAGGCTAAATCTACTCGACACAAAAGTGTTGCAGCTCGTCGACTCCTCCGACACTCAGCGTCTGCGCCTCTCAAGTCGACTAGCTATCTCTGTGTCTTGTCAAAACCTACAATTAGCTTGGAAAGAAAGCTCCGCGACACCCTGACCATAATTTTTGATAAAATTTTCCTCCACTAAACGAGACCTCAAATCTACAAGGTAATCACCAATAATGATTAGGACCAGTGCCTACCTTTCGCACAGCTTTTCTATCCCACTTCAGAACTAGAGAGATATGATGAAAAGAAGAGGTGGATATCATTTTCGAAGTAACGTTGATTTTCGAAATTTTTGTTCTCCAAGGGAAGCAGTAGGGATCAGAGTAAGGGGTACTTAGAGGTTGTGAAGTTCGATGAAAACTCCGGGTAGAGTTGCATTCCCTGATAGCTACTGACAAAATTTTGGCGTAGCCACATCACCACGTGCTGTCCTCGCATTGCCGAGATAGCAAGAAAGTGACTGGGTCTCTATGAAATTAAGTGTGACGTCATGCACGTTTCGAAGCTGATCAGAGTATACTATGGCCCTCACTGCTGTCCGTATCCGGCGACATCGCTCCCAAGTCCCACCAGTAACACATTATGATATTTCTTCCATATTCCTGTAGAACTTCTGTGAAGCTTATGGTGTGGGGAAGGAACGCAACTCTCGCTAGCAACCACAATGTCACTCAAAAAGTCCTTCCAGTGTGTACAAAGAGAAGGTTACTGAGCCAGAACCATTCGGTGCTCCTTGACAGAATGGTGCAACTCTTGTTGCATTCTCTATAGAAAATTTTCTTGATGACCGAAATTACAAGAAGCACGGCAATTATCAGTCAGGTGCAGCTCAGAGATGCTGCCAATTTGCGGGTGGTTACGCTCGTTTCCTGGAGAGTAAAAACAACTCCCCCGATAAAAGTGTCAAGGATATTGCTAATCAATTATGAAACAGTAGCTGGTAAGTAATTCCCCAACAATGGAAAAACTATTTCTATTTCTATTTATTGACGCAGGCATGAGCCCACGTGAGAAAACAAAAACCACAACAACGATTAGTATACCAGTGCAAATCAAGCAGAAAATCAGTGACTATAGCAAAGCAAAGCTAAACTGAGGGTAAACATAAAAAAAATAATAATGAGGTAGTGAACTAGGGCGAGAGAAAAATCATATGAGAGAAGCCCGCGAATCCTCAAGGTTAACTAACTTTTTGGTAACAAACTTGAAGGAACTCAGAGAGAAATGCATGATGTCACGAGTAAGGAGTGTGTTGAGAGAGGCTATTACCCTAACAGAAAAGAATTTGGAGCGGATTTGGGTTTCCACCAGCGGAACCTTGATTTTAGCATCGTGCCTCCTAGCTCTAGGAAGGGTACGCGTAAAGAAAGATTCGGAACTGACAGCAGCCCTACCAGTCAGGATTTTGAATGTCATAACGAGATCGTTTACCAGAGCAGCGCATGGCAAGCTTCCGTGTAAAACTACTTTGGACACCCTCGAGTAAGCATATATCCTTTTTCTTGAAAGGTGAGAAGACAGTTGTGCCCGATTCCAGTAGCGCCCTGACATATGTTTTGTAAGCCCTGACAAGTGTCTTTGAGTCCTTTGATCGTACTGCCCTGAACAGATTAAAGATCCTGTGTGTTGCTGTAGACACAATGTCCGAATAATGACTATCAAAGGAAAGCTTGTTATCAAGCTTGAATCCCAGGTCGCGCACTTGACTGGTGGTCTGGAGTTCCAGTGAGCCTAGTTTATATCTTATATCTACAGCATCACTGCTTTTTCCAACGCAGAAGACTTTGGTTTTATCGTGGGATAGGGGCAGGCCCCACCTAATGGACCAAGTGTTAACACAGTTGATAGCAGCCTGGAGAGCATAACTATCCTCTGAGCTCTCAACTGCCTTGTATATCTTGACATCATCGGCATTCATCAAGCAAGTGACACCGTGGCCAGAAACTAAACTAGGTAGCTCACAAGTAAATATAGAAAACAACAGTGGTGATAAGACACCACCCTGAGGAACACCACTGCTAGCCGAAAAAAATATTAGATAACGTATCGCCAATGCGGATTTGGTACGTACGGTTTTGCAAAAAGCAACTTATCCAAGTTATAGCTTTGGGGTGCAGGCCAACGTACCGCAACTTACTTATAAGAAGTGGAATAGGAACACGGTCAAAAGCCTTAGCAAAGTCAAAGTAAACTACATGATTAGGCTTCTTCTGGTCTAAGGAGCTTGTCCAGTCATTGAGGGAAGTTAGAAGAGCAGTCTCAACTAACCGTCCCTTATAAAAACCATGTTGAAAGCCAGAAATGATATTGTGCTCATAAAAGTGAGCTATAAGCCGACGTTACAAAATCTTCTCGAAAGCCCTGGCAAAAATGGAGGTAATACTAATTGGGCGGTAATTCTCACAGCGATTGTAGGGGGCTTTTTCGGGAACCGGCGTGACTAAAGAATGCTTCCAACGATCTGGTACCTCTGCCCTCAAATAAGACAAATTGAAGAGATGCTCAAGGGGATAGAGTAGATGGTTCAGTACCATTTTGATGAACTTAAAATGGATGAAGTCAGGGGTAATAGAAGGAGAGGTGGGCCAAGCCGAAAGAACTTGATAAATCTCCTCTCGATGAAACCAAACTGTTTGTTCCATGGAAGGACAGAGTGGCGTGAGGTCTCCCATGAATTGTTCGCAATGGTTTGAAAACGCTAGTTGAAACCTTTCGGCCATTCGCTCAGCTTTATCTTTATCACTGATCGCGAGGTGGGACTCATCAACTACCAGCGCAAGTATCTTTTTTCTAACTTTTAATCGTGAATTTATATAATTGTAGAGTTTGCATGGAACCTTTGGAGCGATTATTTTATTCTCAACGCTTGCACAGTATTTCGCTATCAAGCTTTCAAGCCTTATCAAGCTTTCGCAAGCCTTATCAAGCTTTCGAGTAAACTGTTTGTAAGAAGTCCAGTAGGTTTCTGTGTTTTTGACCGCTAAATCCCAGAGATCTGCACAACGAGTAATCATTCGATCTAAATACTCGGGAAGGGATCTGTACCCCCGCTTGACACTACAAAGTGGGATAAAAGTGTTGATGACATCATTCAAAATGGACAGGAATAGCTCGTACTTGTCATTAACTGAGCAAACGCTACCAAAGGAAGCAATCCAGTCCAAGCCTGCGAGGTAATCTCCGACAGCCCGCCCTGCGAGGTAATCTTCGACAGCCCGCCAATCTACTCGAGAGAAGTCCCTAACCATTGCAACTTGTGGGTCAGGTTTGACAATGTTAAGTAAAAACTGAACAGTGGCATGGTCACTGGTACCATTGAGTGGTTGAACATTGACTCCTGAGACTAGGAAGCGGCGATTGCAGAAGACCAGGTCAAGGATTGAGCTGCCTCGGGTTGGGGTATGTACTAGCTGGACAAACTCATGAGAGTACAGCGTCTGGACAAACTCCTTAGAAACAGAGTTACCTGCATCACTTTGATACACGCTAGCATCAGCCATGTTAAAGTCACCTAGTACGAGAGTTGCACCATCGTGAGAACTGAAGTCACTTATCGCTTTAAGAAGCAAATTGATCTTGAGGGCATTACAAGATGGTGTCCTGTAGATTAGCACTAATGACAGTGGAATGGTTAAGGTATGCATTAATAACAATAATCTCATAAGCTTCGGGTACTGATTCACTAAAGATAACATTGTGAAGTATAGCGTTTCTAATGAGAATCAGGACACCCTCTCCTTTTCTTCTGGCACGATCACATCTGTGGTGAGTGTTCTGAAAGTTAGCAACACCTAGCAGACTACACACTTCAATGTTAGGAGTTAACCGAGATTCCGAGAGAAAAACCAAATCATAGCTCTCACGTATTAACAGTGAAATGACAGCTTCGCTCTTTTCAACAAAAGACCTGACATTTGACAGCATGCACTTGATCCTGAATTTCCCTCGAGAACAATTAGTAGAAAAATTTGTGCGTGGGCCAAGCGTCAAAGTGCCCTGGGAGAACCTAGGACAGCTCAGAGGTTTACCGCCTAGTTGGAGAGGATTTGTGGGCTACCTGAGTGATCAACATTATGCACAGTAGAAGCTACATCCTGAGAGTGATTTCAACGAGCAAGCCACTCTTCTCGCCTGCGTCTTCTTTCATCCAGTGTGAGAGAAGGGCGTATAAAAACGCCTTGATGGAAGAAGAAACGTAAGCGAGGAGTTATTATTACTTCTTTTTGGAATCCACTACTGGGTAGAACTACCTTCAAGGGTCTTGGTTTACGAGGGTCTTCTTTTCTACAGATACGGTACACGGACACGGGAAGACAAGCAACATCAAGAAAGTCAAGCAAAGTGTGGGTGCAATATAAGTCATGGTTGACAGCTTCCAGTGATCTAGAAGAGCTACTCTCAGGGACGCCGGATATAACAATGAAACGCTTGAGATCAGGATCATTTACACCATCAGTAGCTAAACTGACAGAATGAACAATAGCTTCACTATGAGAAACACCAGTATGAGAATAAGCTGACTAGCGGAAACTAACTCATCAATTTTGGACTTTAAAACCAAATTTTCCTCCCTCAGTCTTCTATTCTCGTCCTCGTATGAATCGCATTTCCGGCTGACATTAGCTAATTCACGGCGAGTATCGATCAAGAGGTCGATTATCAACTGTAGGGAGGAATATCGCGACTTGACCGGATAATTTGTAGCTTGTCCAACACATTGGTGGTGGCTTGCAGTGAATCACCAATGCGAGATCTCTTCACTGGAACAGAGGAGGGACTGGAGGGAGAAATCATACTGTCGAGGCGGATGACAAAATAACAATCGATAGGCCGCTGGTGATGATCTAGCAATAATCAACGGCGAAGGAAAGTAAAAATTACCCGATAAGGTGGCGAAATTCAACGTATCCAAAGAAAGTCACTCCTCGCCACAGAAGTGTACGCCTTAGACAATACCAGTGAATAGGAACCACAGACGTGTTGAAAAAAATGTGCAAATCTGTTGAATATAGCGAGTACTACAAGAGCGAATAGATAGGCCGCCGCCCATGGTCAGCGCACTAACCACCAGGGCGAGTCGGAACTTGGAGAAGATTCCTCAACGCAGGAAGATGAGTTGTGGTTGCGCGCTAGTGTAGGAGTGGGTCGCGCTGGCTCCTCTACCCCTCTAGCTGTCAAAGTCACTTTGGGAGCTCAATGGATTGATGAACCTCTCCTCAAACTTGGGTAATTAAACCCAAGTTTGAGGAGAGGTTCATCAATCCAAAACTAAAAACAGCCCTCAAGAACAACATAAACGAAATTGCTCCCTCACAGTTACACCGCTGTGCGGTCGATGGGCAACCCATGGCTCACAACCTCTGGCTCGCTTTATGGCATTTCCCAGTAGCGGACAACATCCAGTTCAGAGAAAAGAATATGAAAAACAACAGACACGAAAGAGAAACACTTGGAAAAAGGAAAAATTGAAAAACCTGGCGTGCGAATTTGGTACTACGTGAAGTGTGCAGCTTTGGTGCATGTCGAGCTTTTGCACCACAGAAATTGCATCATTCATGGTTTTTACGCTTTTTACCTTTCGAGATGGGTTGCAGTTGACTGTATGTGCTCCCAATGAATAAAATGTCATGAAGGATAGCAGAATTATTTATGGGCTCAGGCGCGGTCAGCAAAAAGCACATGGGGTTTCTATTAATGCCCGCCGTCCCAACGAAGAAGAACTGAGCGGCTCTCCGTCGGAGGACAGCTAGCAAGTGGGGCGGTCCAACTGAGCGGGCGTTAGAACTAGAACACTCGCGACTCCACAGTGAGCGAGGAGCGAACTTTGAGCGGCAGTAGTTCGCTTCTCGCTCACTGTGGAGTCGCGAGAGTAGGATAGTCTCTAGCGGGAGCTGAACTACCTGCACAAGAAAGGGGCGACCATGTACTAATTGAGCGCGGGGGCTGTCTTTAACTAACGGCCGTCATTCTGTGCTAATGGCCAACCTACACGTTGCCTATAGTAAAATAACTGCAGCTTGACACAAATGGGGCACTGTGCTAAGGCAAGCAACCTTCCTTGAGACAAAGGCGGGTGTTAGAACCCTCGATCACGAGCGAATGGCCCTTCAAGAACTCAATATAGGGTAGGTCGAAAAGCACCTCAAACTTTGGAGAATTATAAGCATTAGAATTTCCCACAAAGCCATAATATAGCCGTCTGCAAACTCGAAGAACACGTTCCAAGTTTTCTTCCGATTTTTTCTGGAGCACTCATTCAAAGTGTTGCAGGACCTTCTTTCCAATCAAATAGCCAGGAAAAACACTGCTGGGGCGCGTAATGGCGCGACTAGAGTGCGCTGTACACCCCTCCAGGACACTGAGCAGTGGCTTCATATTACGCAGAGGAGGTGAAGAGCTGCGCAAGTGATTCGCTTTGACGACTTATTATTCCTTCCCTCAAAGGAAGAGTTATGCTACAGCAACCTACGCAATAGTGAGAGCAGAATGTTTACACAGTGAATTGATTACATAGTGAATTACCCTCTTCCCCTTCTGCTAATCCATAGCTATTCCTCTGTTTTGAAGTAGGCTGCTAGAAAGTTGACATGCCTACTCGAAATATACTTTCCGGGATGACAGCATACCTTATATCTTTCCATTTCGCGAAGGATATAAGCAATAATCACTGCAATCGCTACCACGACAGAGATGCCAAACGCGATCGCTGCTGGTACCCATGTCGGAACGTCTATCGACACATCACAACAACAGTCGCTCATCTGGAATTGCAAAAGTTTATAAGTAAAAGATGGTGAATGACTCGCTTGAACTCTTTGTGCTTTGAATAGAGGAGGACGGTGTGATTCCAGCACATGGACGCTGCTCCCCATACAGGGTATATGTAGTTGATGGGTGAAATGGCTGTGTCAGTACAGTACTTGTCGTTCACATTGTGTGTGTATGCGTGCGTGCGTGCGTGCGTGTGTGTGTTTGATCGGATATTCATAACTTCCTCCGAATCGTCAGATTGGTCGTAGTGACGTCAAACTGATAGGTGATGGGAGGAGGCAGGCAGGAACACTGGTAGACGGCAGGAACTGATAAGGGCTGATAAGATGCCGCAGGGGTCTCATAAGGGGAAGCCCTCCAAGTTTATAGCGCGGGCCACAGCAGCACCCGAACATTGATTCCGAATAGAGATAGCGGGCAGGATAGAAAAATTTTTGGTGGTGCTAGAACGTTGGTTCCCAGAATTGATATAGGAAGCAGGACGGGAACATTACTGATGGGTGACTGGGCATGATGACAGCCGACAAGGTACCATGGGAGCAACTTCAAAGAAGCCCGCAAAATTCATAGCAGGAGCTGTGGCAACACTGGAGAAGTGCTTCCAGCAAGTAATTCAGAGGTGTTTAAGGAACATAAGGGGTGGGGGATAAAATGTGATCGAGTACCCGACAAGGATTATAAGGCTCAGTATCTGTTCACATTCTATCTCTGCTTGCGATTGAATTGTAACCACGATGGCTAGGAATTGATGGGCAAAGCTTAGTGAGCCAAGATGTTTCTGCCTTTCAGCAATTTGGTCGAAAATGATCCGAGCCCTCGACTCTCGAATTTCGACGAAAATTGAAAGCCTGAAGTTGTTTGCCGGTGAAGACTGGTAAGCAGGGCACATCGTTATTGGGGATTCCGCAACAGGGGGGGGGTCGTATTCGGTCGCTGGGACGTGGGGATCTCATTTAGGCTGAAGAAAAACTTTTTGATAGTTCATTTTTCTGAGCTTTTGATGAGACTCTGAAAGGGGTTGCTGACTGTTCATAGTTTTTCCTGTTTCATGTGTACTATATACCGCACTTCACCGAAATTTTTGGGTAAAATTAGGAAATTTCCAGCAACTTCCGAAAAAAAAACGAGAGGAAGTTGGGGTATGGAAAGTCCAAGGAAGAAATGGTAGAGGGGGTCATATTCACTCTCCCGCTTGACAGCTTGATGAGGGGGGAACCAGGGAGGGTCTGCACGGACTCGACCAAAATCCTCAACCAATGATATGCCCCGATGGTAAGAGTCACCAGCAGACGGATCTGAGAAAGCTGCTCAATGGAAGTACTAAGATGTGAAGACCTTCCTCTAGAATTTCAATATTGTTATCATCGAAACTCTTTCAACCGATAAGCTGTTCTATTCCCAACGAATGGTCTTATTTTTAAGAAATATGATAAACAGACATTGGCAAATATTCACTTAAGAGGAGAACTATAATATGATGAAACCAGCCGGCTTTGCCGGCTGATGCCTGCACGCCTTCTTCTGAGGTAAAGAATGGATTTGTTGAGCGGGCCCGGCTCCGTTGCACTTATCCTTCTCCTCACCGGCTTTTCTTTTATACAGATAGTCAATAATCTTTGACCAATATGTTCATACGAGTGCACTACATGATTCTTTTATATAGTGAGATTGTAATCACACATTGCCTCAAAAGTGATACTAAAACGGATTTTATATCGCGACTCTGCTTGCGCGTTGATCCTTCCTCTATTCACCTTATCGCTTTGATTGGCGCTTTTATTACCACCCTGGAAATGAGTTCATACTAAACGCACTATACGCTTCCCCTCCCGTACTCGCCCTCACTAATCCCACCCACCCACATTATACCCTCCCCACTCCCACTGCCCCACCCACTCCCCATCCCGGCCGCTGCACGTGCTCACGTCCACCTGCCACGCGAGCAGCTCGTGCAATGGTTTGGAGTGCACTACATGGTTTTCTTATATAGTGTAGGGTGTTATCACAATCAAAACATTGGATTGATACATCTGCACCAACTGACTTCGCCACCGGCTAGCGGTCGTACACTCCCCTACATTGACGTGTTTGAAACCATGAAGCATTTTGCGGACGGACAGACATACATACATACATACATAACATACCGACAAACCGACACACAGAATTAGTGGTTTATAGAATGTAAGGATTAGCCGTGCTCAGAAATATGAGAGTTACGCAAGTGAGGGGTCAGTACAAAAATCCTGTCATCGATCACTACCATAGGTTCAACCATGACCGCAGTAGTGCGTGGTGGCTAATCTGGTTATGCAAATGACATATCTTACATTCTTTGTTGTCCCTAACTCATTTCACCTTTGGGGGGGGGTACAAGATTTTTGTTCCATCAACGCAATTCCGTTCTGATCTGGAAAACTGCCGACAATGTGCAGAACATGTGCCAGGCCAAAGTCCAATCAACACTTCAAAATTATTTGCCATCACTCTTCAATTATTCACAAGTGAGAAAGATTAACCAGATCAGGGAGATAATGATGGCTGCCTAGTCACGCCATTCCATAGTGGACTAGGGCACAGAGTTGTACTATCAACCACTTTGGCTATGAGGAGTTCGTCGCTGGCGCATGTAATCGCTGTTAGCTTATTAGAAACATGCAACCAGTTGTGGTGAAACCTACCTCATTCCAGCTTGCTTCGAGGTAACAATGAAATGCTAATTGCGATATAATTCGGTATCATAAGTGTCAATAATGCTCGAATCTGCAGTATCGCGAGCCCCTTCAATGCAGAGGGTTAGAGAGCAGCGGCTGCCAAAGCATCGAAATGTGCTAAATACCTTGGCGGCCAGCAGGAGAGGGCTTTCCAAGAGGAGACTTCAGGGACGGGGTGAGTCGCCTGCCATGCTGTTTAGATTTTAGATTTATTGCATGGGGTCCAACACATGAGAAATGAACAATGCGTTCTAGTGTAAAACTACGTGCTAGTGACATAGGACTCAAAATGGCCACCACAACACTTGAGATACAACACACAGAAAAAATAATAAAAAAAAACAATACAACATAGCGAGCGTAGTACAAAACTGAAAGTTAGCTTAGTGGCCTCCAATGCCGATACTAAGAGAAATAAGTAAAGAAAAAAAAAGCCTCACTTGAAATGATGGTGCAAGAGATTTGTGAACTGAGCAATATTTTTCGGTAGCGTGGATGATTTCATCAATTTGGAAAACTGAGTGGCTGCCCTTACTGCGAAAAATTTAGTCCTCATCCTTGTTTTGGAACTGGCAACTACTAGCTTATTCTACTCTCCCCTGGTAATTGAGTTGCGGAGGGTAAAAAAAATCTTGAACCTTGAGGCTTAGCTTTCCTGTGAATATCTTGTAAACAGCAATGAGATCGAACATCTTACGTCTGTACGGAGAGTGAGTCTAAGCCCAGCATCTTGTTTCTAACTACTCCCCTAGGAATTGCTTATAAAAACCAAGAGCGCGAATCAAAATTTTCCTCGTGAAACTATTTTGGACTGTTTCCAGTTTTCTGACGTCATTTTTAAAGTTAGGGAAGAAAATGGTAGTGCCGTACTCCAGAACAGGGCGAATATAAGTTTTGTATGCTTGAAGAATACACAAGGATCCTTCGTTAAGAGACTCTTTAAAGTTGGTAGGTCCGCAGCTCTGCTTTATTTCGCTATGATTGTGCAATGCCGTTTAAACGTCAGCTTATCATCAATAATAAACACAAATCCTTCACCTCTTGTGCTTTCCTAAGCTCAGTTCGGTCAATGTGATAGGTATAGGAGCTGTGGCCAGGACCGAGATGTAAAACAGATGTTTTCTCAAGCTCAGTCGGAAGTCCCCACCGCTTGGACCACGCGCTGACTACATCAATAGCATTTTGGATGATGTTCGAATTACTCGCATCTGAAACCGGACCTATAAATTTTCATGTCATCGGCAAACAAACAACTTGCAGTGACTGCTGCATTCCAACTAGTCTAGGAAGTTCGTATGTATAAATATTGTACAATATCGGTGATAGGACGCAGCCCTGGGGAACTACACTGGATGCTGCTCTGACAATTTGAAAAAGTCTTACCAAGCCTCACTTGAGATGCACATTTAGTCAAAAAAGCTTCCAGCCACCCTATTATTCTATTGTGTATGCCTATTATGTTGTAACTTAGCTAATAGCTTACTATGTGACACCTGGTCAAAGGCCTTAGAGAAATCGAAATAAATCACGTCCACCCCATCCCCGTTATCGATGAACCTTGTCCAGTCATTCAGCGTTTCTAGCATTTGGGTGACCGTTGAACGGTTTTCGCGGAAACGTGTTGATTGTCAGACAAAATTATTTGTCCTCTAGGTGAGTGACCACGACTTTCTTGAGAATTTTCTTCAAAAACACGACAGAATATGGACGAAATACTGACAAAAGCCTGTAGTTGTCAGGATTTGTGCTGGGAGGCTTTTTAAGAATTGCTGTAACGAAATGCCTCCATCTGTTTGGGACCTCGGCTCGGAACAGACTAAGATTGAAAATGTAGCGAAGTGGAGACACAATGAAGGGACAACTTCCTTGATAAACCGGAAAGGGATACCATCTGGTGTTAATGCCAAAGTTGCCTTCCACCTAGATAGAGCGCGTATAAATGTCTTGTTCATGGAACCACAGGGAGTCGTCATTACTGGAAATGATCCCTCTAGATGTAGTTCTCTGATGCTCCGAATCATCACCACTAACAAAATACTTCCCAAACACATCAGCTAACAACTCTGCTTTTTCTGAGTCAGCGATAGCTAAGGTACCCTCGGATTTGACCAGAAAAGTGACGCCTTCTTTCTTCTTGATTCTAGAGCTAATGTATTTGTATAGGGCAGCCTTGTTACGACTGTCTACTACCTTTCTTTCTAGGAGGCAGTTGTATTTGTATAATTTGCTTTCAAACTACCGATTTATATTTCTGTACGACTCCCATTCTAAAGAAAGATCACTGTTTGTAGCACGCCTATATGCTTCTCTCGAAAGTGCAGTACAGGTACCAAGGGATGCGCTCCCGCGTCGTTTTGGTTTTGCACATCGGAATATATTTCTCTATGCAATGATGCAGAACAGCTAAAAACATTTCGTACATTTCATTCACACTGTTGAGGCTATGGAATGAACCAACCCAGTCCACGTTATCTAGATAATGTCGAATTTCCTTGTAATTGGCCTTAGTAAAATCTCTTCTCCATGTGACCCCATTTTCGGTAACATGCAAATTGAGAAGAAATTCTACACAGGCATAATCACTACATCCTAGAGGAGGTTCAACATTCACTTGCTTCACCAGCGAGTTATCATTTCAAAATAATAAATCAAGCACGTTTGACCCTCTAGTACTAGTTCGGACAAGCTGGTTATATTCTAAATTGTTTGTGGTACTAGCAAAGTATTTCGCGACGGAAGAACCAGATTCTGAGGGAGAAGACCAGTCGATACCAGAAAAGTTAAAGTCCCCTGTAAAGAGAGAGCTGTGTCCGCCGACTGTGAGATCACTGATCATTCTTTCGCTATATACACAGGAATAGCTAGAAGCCCTGTAACAGAGAATAATACGACATTTAACATCCTTAGTATTTAAGTCACAGGCTATGATACATATCCTTTAGAAACCGATTCGCAAAATATAAGTGTAGGGAAAAAAGCTCTCTTATTCAGGAGTGCAACTCCACCCCTCTTCCTCCTCTTGCAATCGCAGCGAAAGATCTCATATTTTCCGCAGACATCACCTAAAGGTGAGGAAATCTCGAAAATAGATTCAAGCCATGTCTCTGACAAGGCGACGACTCCGTAATCTCTACTGATTAATGAATGCTTGAGCGGTAAAACATTCTTAACTATTGACCGAATATTTGTTGTGAGACACCTTACACCATCATGTATCCGAGGATTCAAGCGGCTTTTACTGGCATTGAGTCATTATCGGCATTATTAAGCTGGAAGCATCACCGAGAGTAGAAGGACAAATGTGAACATCGCCATTCGCATTAAGACGTGCAGTAGGGGGGGGGGGGAAACCATTGGCAGCATTATTAGCACCTTCACGTCTGGCCCTTTTAAGAGCGGCCAGGCGATCCCTCTCCAACTTGGTAGGGAATGTCTTATGACCACTCCAGAAATCGGGAAGAATCTCAGCCTGGGAGCTTTTCTTAGAAGATCCATTACAAAATAGCTGCTAGGTAATACAATTTTAAGAAGCCTGGGAACACCTGATCTCTTCCCCATACGGTGAATAGCCGTAGGAGAACATTCGATGTCTGAAAGGTGAAATACCTTTTTAACACACTCAACATCATGGGAAACTCTGTTCATTGCACTTGAATCTGTTGATTCCGAGATGCCTGCTATAACAACCGACCTCCCCCGTTCTTTCTCTTCACATCAGTCCAATGGGGGAGAGCCTTCTCGGACCGGCTGTGAATGGCTGGTGATCTCACTTCTAATTGGCGCTTCTTTTAAAGTCTGGACTTCCCTTACAAGCCTATTCTTTCCCGCAATTTCTACTTTCAATTGCTCTTCTATTAGGTTGTCCGGAAAGTTCTCAGCGTTTTGGGTGTTTCACTTTAAACGATCGTAACTTTTTAATACTCAGATTTAATCGAAATAGGCACCATTCGAATCAGCACACTTTTGCCAGTGTGACAGCGAGAAATCCCATCAAAGTGAAAAACTGGGTGGTCGAAAATTAACGAAATCCACTAAGGCTTTTTTGCCTGGACCTGATTGATGAAGTATTTTCCAGCAAGGGGTTTTGAAAATGTTAGAAAAGGTGATAGTCGATTGGCGAAAGGTCTAAAGAATATGGCGGTTGAGATAGAACTTCAACCCCCTATTCGTTCAATTTATGGATAGTGATTTGTAAAACGTGTGGACGGGCGTTGTCATGCAAAGGAATCGGACCCTTTCTTTTGATAAGTGTTGGGTGCATCTGACAAAATTTTCGGTACAATTCGTCGATTTCTTAACAGTAGGGTTCTGCTGTGATGGTTTGGCCTGGTGATAAAAAGTTATAGTGGATCACACCAGCCGATGACCACCAAGCCGTGACCAGAATCTTTTTTTTCGTAAGGGTTCGGCTTTAAAAATTACCTCGGTGGTCCGTCGAAATCCAACCACTGTCCAGAACGTCTCCTGTTATCATGCATGACCCATTTTTCCTCACAGGTGACAATTCGGCCCAAAAACGGGTCGTTTCTGCTGCGCAAAAGCAATGCAGAAGGAACCTACGAGACGTGCCGATTCCTGCCGGTCACCTCCGATTGTGGGGCACGCAGTTGTCGAGTTTTCTCACCTTCCCAATGCGGTCCAGACCATCTGCAACAGTGGATTTGCCAAAGGCCTAGCTCTTTCTGCTATCTCTCGAACTGTTTGGATGGGGTCAGCCTCAAAAATCCCCTAAAATCCTCGTCAGATACTGCTTTAGGTCGACCGCTTATGAGGTTCATCTTCAAGGCCTGAAATCTCCAGAACGAAATTTGTTGACCATTGCCGCACAGTGCTTTCTCTAGCACCATTGGCTCCCACACCTGGTTAATTTGTCGAGCTGTTTCGATTGCGGATTGCCCCAATTTATTGACGAAGAAAAAAAATCGTCCAAAGTGCTCTTTTCAAATGCTTAAAAAAATCTTGAAAAGGGGGTTTATCAAGCAATGGTGAAACGGCAATTGCACATCAGATAGCGCAAGAAATTTTCTAACAGGATCTGCTACTGAGAAGCAAGGCAGAATGAGTTTTCAATCAGCGGTGAATAGTACAAAAATAAGGTGCACAAAACGCTGAGAACTTTCCGGACAACCTAATACCTTTTGGTTCCTAGAAATGAGCTCACTGATCGTATTCGCGTTTTCTAGAAGATGTCCAACGACTGTCTTCAGGTATACTGGCAGTTGATCGTCTTTGATCAATAGGTCCAGGGCGTCGGATGGCGAGCGATCCGTGAGTGCAGGTGAACCAGTACAAAACCTCTTTACCGGCCTCTCCTGAATTGAACGAGGAGGCAAGGGAGTTAGTTGTGAATCCATGGCAACCAAAAAAAACAACAAATCACCGAATCGGGTGGCACTCGAACAAATTTCCGTTCACCTGCCACGGGGTCTCAAGCGATCATGCTGACCTATTGATTTAAAGCACCGCAGTGATGCTGTGTAGCACAGTAAAATAGCACAATAAAATAGCAGTTTAGCAAAGTAGTAGCTACAGCAGTAAGGCGACTTCGTGCAAAATAAAGCAGAATACCCTCGGATACAATAGAAGTAAAGAGGGCACAAGAAGAAAACAGCCGTAGTGAAATACCAATATGAAAGACCGTGAGAAGCCTAAATCTGCGAAATCGTTGCAGTAGCAGAAGGGCATGCTCACGAGTGTGCAGTGGGGCACAGAAAATTTGCGCTATTAAACGGATCAAGATCAAATTGTCCGTGAGCTGCCATCGTTCACATTTCTTCCAACTCTAACGCGGATGCGCACACTCCTGTGGTGAAAGGTGAAGTTACTTTCGTAGTTTTGCTAACTTGGCGGCGGTGAGTCCGTTTCTCCTCGAGGTGCCGCTGGAGACTGCCCATTCGCTAGGATGTTGCGAGCCGAACACGGACACCAGGGTCAGACCCTTGCGCCAGGTCGGCTGGTAACACTTATGGTTAGTCACAACCATGGATTAAAACGCTACTCCAGTGAACAATGCTAGGGCGTACCTCGAAAGCGACGCAAACGAAAACGAGGGCTACCGGTTCAGGGACGGAGGTGACTAAAAAAGTATGGGGCCGGGGCGCTTTGCCACGTTGGACACTGGCACACTTACAAAGCGAAGCGAACTAGCCGAAATGTTGAAAACGCGCAGAGTGAGCATCGCCTGCATTCAGGAGACGCGGTGGAAGGGGCAACATTGGCCAAGGCTACAAGTTGAGCTACTGTGGCAAGGCCAACAGTAAAGGCGTGACCATTGCCGTAAGTACCGAGCTGCGCAGCCATGTCGCATAATTGAGACGTTCCAGCTAGACTCATCTCCGCTGTAATCGACCCGCCGACATTCTGTGTTCTCAGCCTACGCCTCACAAAGCGGTTGTGACGATGTAGAAAAGGAACAAATCTGGACTGAACTACAAGATCACATTGAAGCGTCGCCGAGGCGAAGCAATCCTCCTTTGTGGCGACCTGTATGGTCACGTTGGTGGCGCTCAGAATGGTTACTACTGCCGTGGCAACAACAGATACGGATACGAAACGAAAACGGACGGCGTAGTCTAGAATTCGCTGAGGCCAATGATCTTGCTTTAGCAACACATTCTTCGAGAAGTGTGTAAGTCACCTAGTTACAAATGCAATCGTGGGCAGAAAAGTCAAGCAGACTTCGCGTTGGTCTGCAGGCGAGATCTTTGTTCCATCAGTGATGCAATGGTCATCCCGTCAGACTGCCTTCTACCACAACACAAAATGTT